ACAGTTATTACGTTCCCCAGCCTCCCTTTGCCCCATGAAAAACAATACATATTCAGAAAATCATTGTCATTTCTATAGAAAATAGTATATATATATACTGTATATATATATATATATATATATATATATATATATAGAACTACTAAGTTTGTATCGGTACTTGCCTATGGCCGGAGGTGCTAGAGCAAGTGTGTGGTGGGTAGTGGAGCGAAGGAAGAGGATGGTGGGAGGAGAGGAGTATGGCAGGAGCGGAGGAGGAGGGTGGGAGAGGAGGAGGGTGGCGAGTCACTGAGACTCTGAGGCTGCTTCCTCCTCCTCCTGTTTTGACTGGGGTTCCTCCGCCGCTGTTTGCTCCTCCTCGACTGCTTTTTGCTCCTCCCCGGCTGCCGGCTGTTGTGAAGAAGCTGCTTCTGCCGTCCCCCGATGAACAAATAAATCCAATGTTGACTGCCTGGTGCTACTCTTCTTCTCCTTATAGATCTCAGTGTAACAACCAAGACTGTTCTTAATACTGTGTTGAACCTTTGAGCTACGTTCTCTGTTTGGGTCGTCATCTATAAAGAATTACATTGCTTGCTGGAACATGTTGAACGATTCTGCCATCCTCTTGGAATTTAGCTTTCGTTGAGGTTCTTCTTCATCGTCATCGTCTTCAACGGGACTGTGTTCTGTTAGTTGTTGCAGATCTTCGTTGGTGAGCTTTTCTGTATTGGGTGCCAGGACGTCCTCAATATCCTCTGATTCCAGCTCATCAAAGCCTGCCTGTCTAGCCAAGTTGAGGAATCCCTGTCCACAGCTGGGACTAAGTCCGTGAATCTAGTAAAACTGTTAACGCACTCGGGGCACAATTTCCGCCACACACCATTCAGGCAACTTTCTGAAACCTCTTCTAATGCCTTGCCAATGTTGTCAATTGCATGAGGAATTTTGAAGCCACGCCAATATTCTCGGATCGTAGGTTTATTTTCTCTGTCTGTAGCCTTGAGCAGCTGGCCCATGGTACGGCGTAAATAATACACCTTGAATGTGGTTGATGACGCCTTGGTCCATAGGCTGCATCAGTGCTGCCATGTTGGGAGGCAGGAATACAACTTTTACACTGTTATGCAATTCGTCGAGATTGGGAGGATGAGCTGGAGCATTGTCAACGATCAGAAGAATTTCGAAGTTAAGGTTCTCCTTGCACAGTATTCCGTCATTGCAGGCACGGTGTACATGTTCAACCACTGGCTAAATAAGGCGCCAGTTATCCATGCCGTCTTATTTGCTTTGTAGATCACAGGAAGGTGATCCTTAGAGTAAGCTTTCAGGGCCCGTGGGTTGGCAGCACGAGAAATCAGCATAGGCTTCAGCTTGAAGTCACCGGCAGCGTTTGCGCCAAGCAGTCTTTTGCCGCTTTAAAACCTGACACGCTTTTCTCCTCCTTGGAGATATAGGTTCTCTCAGGCATCCTCTTCCAAAAGAGACCAGTCTCATCCACATTGAAGACTTGCTTCGATGAGTCGCCTCCTTCCTGGATAATCCGTTTGAATTCTGGCCGGAATGTCTCAGCAGCAACCATATCTGAACTGGCAGCTTCACCAGTCATCTTAATATTGTGGAAGTTATACCTGTGCTTAAATCATTAAAACCAGCCTCGGATGGCCGTAAAGGTCTCTTCTTTTGATCCTTCACCCTCTTCTGCCTTTATGTCGTTAAACAAGGATCTGGCCTTATGCTGAATAACCATAAGCCTCACAGGCGCATTGCGTTGATTCTGGTCCTTCATCCACATAGACAGCATCTTTTCCACTTTTTCTATCACAGTGCTTCTCGTACGAGTTGTCTTGGTTGCACTCAGAGAAGCACCACTTCCAGCACTAACCTTAATCTTGTCAGCGTTGGTCCGGATAGTACGCACCGTCGTGGGGGTTAGACCAAGCACAGCGGCTATGTCCACAGCAAGTTCTCCTTTTTCAAATCGGGTTAATACATCTATTTTCGTAGCAAGGGTAATGGTCTTACATTGCCTCTTCACTACACTAACATCAGTAGCACTTGATGGGCGCTTGGAAGCCATTTTGAATGGTTAGATTACAGTTTTAGAGTAAAAGCACTTAAGTACACACAAATGAAGTGAAGTTGTAACATTAACTGGCTTGGCATCACTTGGGGACGCTGTGACGTTCTGCGAGTGAGGGCAGCACACTGAGCCGAGAGAGCGTAGCAAGGCCAGACAAGAGCGGGTGATGCGCCGCTGAAAGTAGTCTGTGACGACTCAAAACGACGTAGTATCTGATCACCGGGATGTTAAATGAATTTTTGGTCTAAGTTTAGCGACGTAGTACCGAAACAAGGTTAAGCGGGACGACGTTGTATGAGGACTTACTGTATTCTACTTTGTACAGTATTTAGGAAGTGATCTTACTAATAGGAAGGACAGAGGAACTGGTTGCGGTACAAATACACGTACTGAGAAAAATGCAAAATTTTATTTGTTGAAAAGTTTAGTATAAAAAATAATAATGTCTTTTACAAAGTTATGGCACACAACGTTAGATAAGTTAGTTTTTTACCCATCCCAACCACACACTAAAGTATATGCAAACGGGAGCAGCAAAATAGAACAAATTAGAAGCAAAAATATAATGGAATGCTGGAAATAATCCTTCATGATAATGAACAAACACAAAACTGGGGAGCAATGGCAATTCAGTGAATAATATGAGGCTACTTTATAAATTACTGTACAATAAAAGATATGCAAAAGAAGGACGCCTATGACAGTTGCAAGATTATAAAGGAAGGTAACAACTGTAAGTTTTTTAAATTGAATATAAAATGGAACAAGAGTCAGAACAGAGAGAAGTGACAGACAAAAAATTACATTGAAAAAACTTGTGACTTCTGTAGGTCACTTGATGAATTTAACTTTCTATCTTCTGTTTACTATTTTATGGTCAAAGTTTACAAATTCTTTGTTACTGAAGCCAGGTGCTGACCCCGTCAGTGCTAGTGCATGTTTTCATCTTATACTCCAGCAGGCATTGTCGTACCGTACAAGATCCAGTACCAAGGTAATTTGAGCAAGTTTAAAACCTTTGTTACCAGCATACCATACTTAGGTCAAAACCACTGTTAGTATGGCAGTTATCTAAAGCTCCAAGGTCTAATTATCAAGAGGATCATTATAAATACATAGTACAGAAATCTCCATTCCAGTACCCACTTCCCTCTCTCCTCCAGACAACACAGGGAAGCATAAACACAAAGACTATAATAATAATGAGACATAGATATATATATATATATACAAATTATGCATATAATGCCACACACATATGTGGCAGATGGAATGGCATGAATGATAAACATAACTTAGGGAATTCTTGAGAGAATGAAATCTTAGAGTCGACCATCACTTCACTGATGGGTAATGCTGAGTCGACTAACACCCATAATTAGATTACTGTATAGCAGAGTTAGGGTAGAAAGCAACAAACCTCACACATAACATCCAATGATGATTTTTACGTTTAATTGCAATCAGTTAAAAAACTAAATATTTTCCCTGTTTTATGCTGGAGCTTCAGGTTCTTCCTTGTAATGTAACTTCTCAAAAGAGCAAAGAATGAATTGCATAGATGTTATCAAGAAAATATACATCAGTAATGTACTGAGGAATATTTCATGACTGGTATATAAGGCTTTGCTTATCCCCAACTGTGGTATGAATATCTGAATTACAGCACAAAATGTGTGTTCACAAAAAAGATCTACGGTAGGTCTATGGTTTTCCTCTTGTAATATATCTTTGATTTTACATTTGATTTTAAATTACACCAAATTTGACGTGGAAGCTTGTTGATAACTCTCTTGTGAACACACTCAACATAAGATCAACATACATATATAACCAATTTGTGTCTTTTTGAAATTCAAAACAAATCTAAAGTAGTGATGAGATTTAACATTATGAGCTTTTTATCAAGAAGAAGTATAAACTGAAATTAAATTACTCTTAAATATTTTGATAAATATGCATAAAAGACAGCCTCATCACAGTACATGAAAGCAATGTTTGAACACAACCTCTCAAACTTTACAATGTTCCATATAATAAGATAAAAGTTTTTTGAATGTGTGGAAATTCATATCACCAAATTCTTACCACAATATTATACTGACAACATCAGTTTTACTCACACCATATATGGCTCATTATGACTTCTTATCTAAGCTGGGGGTTAACTGTGGCATGCAAGGCTTATTGGTTAAAAATATATTTGAGAACAAGTCAATACCCCAAACTCAAGGTGAGAACTTGTAAACTTGTTGAAGTATAATAATGATGCTCTCTTAGAAACCACTATTACCAGTTCTGCTAGCCTGGAATGCATGAGTTGCCAGATTGACCGTCTTACTGTACAGTTAACCCTCACTTTACGCGGTTAATGTAACCCGGAGGGTCCCGCGTAAAGTGAGAAACGCGTAAAGTGAATAACATAACATATGGGATTAATTGAAATGGAGTCCGGGCCGATCCCCAAACTCCACTTTTTGACGACACACAACTATGTTGTAGTAAAAATATTATCTTAACTTTATGATGGTATGCACACACAATTAATAATTAAGAGAAATATCAATAATATTAGGTTTTTTAACACTTACATTAGTAGAAAAAATGGCTGGGCACACGGGGATGGGCGGTTGGTTCCGAGGCAGAGGGCAGATTATTGGCCCTCACCTGTGTCACTTGTATCAATTGTATCACTATCCACCACAGAGGCTTGCAGGGCCTCTTTGTCAAACTCCCCAAAGTCCATATAAGTCCATATCCTCACCATAATTATCACTATCACTGACTTGGGCCGGCTGTGGTGGGTGGCGGGTGAAGAACTGGTAATGTTTTGATGACTGGGCGACCTTGTGCGCACCATGTTCGCGCAGCTTACACAACATGGCGGATGGCGGGAGGTTTGGATCCAAAAATGGCGCGGCTCGCCAGCCGCTCTCCGCGTAAAGGGGTACACGCACCGCGGAATGTGAGCATCCTGGGTTCCAGCAGGGCACCGCGTAAACGTGGAAACGCGGAATGTGGGACCGCGTAAAGTGAGGGTTAACTGTATATTTTCTGCTACGTTAGCAAGTAAGGTTATTAGCGACACAAGTTGCCACCTACCGGTACTCATTCATGTTTTGCAAGTAATATACAGAACTCTTGTGTCACTGACGTGGAACATAGTGACACATTTTACATAAGAGAAAATGAAGATATCTGTACCTCAGTGCCAATACAGTACATAATTTCAATAAAGTACTGTACGGTAGTGAGATTTAGGAAATACAAATTTAAGTCTAAATAAATGATTTTCTGTAGTTTAAATTTGTTCTTGACAACTGAATTCTCAAAAATGTATTTAGTAATGAAGCAAACTCTGATGTTAAACATTCTGGGGATTATTGTATTATCTTTCAAACCTCATCTTTAGGTCTTTTTTAAACCCAACTTTCACTTGTTAATTTTATGTATGATAAAAATAATGCATACGTGCACAAATAAACATAAATTAGATGGTATAAACAAGAAACAATTTAATTTCATCGTACTTGACACTATCTGGCTGCTGGGTAGGAAGGAGCAGAAGGTAGAGGTTGTAGAGGCATCTAGAAAGTTTACATTAGTTCACATACGGTGATTTGTTTTAAATGGTTGAATTTGGCGAGTAGTTTCATCGGCAATATATGGTATGGAGTTGTGTGATGTTCATGGTAGAGTCTTTTATACAACCTTTGCGATACTATACACATTAAAGAGATTTACACAACTAAAAATGCATACACATACTTCAACACATAAAAAAAGCTCCACGTGAAAACACTAAAAATGTGTTTCAATGGGTTTGGCACATATCTGTAAAATTTTATAAACATTCATATGTAAAACTTCTACACTACAAGACAGAACAGCTTATATCAGAAGGAAGAGCAAAGGTAATTAATTACACGTTTGTGAGTACCAAAAATGGAAATACAATAACAGCAACAAAAAGAACAGTTCAATATACAACACCCATAACAACCTGGAGTGATATTAATACAAGGAAGAACAGTACAGTACAGTATTCTTGAGTATTGTCCAACGCAAGAATCTTATTTTACATACCAAAGTGTGAATCATGCCACAAACAATTCCTTAACTCTCTTGACACAGGGAAAGACATGAATTTATGAATACATAATACATACCAGTAAATGAGGAAATTTAACTAAAACTACCTATATGCCAACAATCCTACTCCCCACGTGACGTAAATAACAATGGCAGATAAAACATCCGGGAAAGCACAAACCCAAACTATCGCAATATTGAGCACACACGCAAGTCTTTGGCACAACCTTCTTGCTCTCATATGACAGGCAGGAGTAACTACTGAATTGAGCAAAATAAGGTGAAAAAATCTTTGACATAACATCTTTGATAAAACATGAGCCAATGTGATGCCCTGTCAGTATCTATGGCATAAAATATTGAGCCATTGTGTCATATTCTTTGAGGTTTATCAATTTCTTTATATTTCTAATGATTTCTACATCTATATTCTACACTGAGAAATATTCCTTTGCCTGAGACGTCATATATTAAAAAGATTTCACAACGATAAAACCAGCAAAACTTATGCTTAGAATACAAAAATGCCTTCATGACAAAATGTGTAGTCAAAGAACTTGAGAACTAAGCTGAACAATATAACACTCAGATTACCTTTAAATAATTTACTTTCTTAAGCTCAAGAACATTTTCTACAAAATGGCTTATAGATTACAAAATCATTACTTATCTCATAAATAATGACACTGAACAGTCAACTCACAAATAGTTTCTTGTTTCAAAGAATTTACTGATATAGAAATGTAGGTGATATATTTTAGCTGCATGTTTTGCACTGTAATAAGGCCTTAAATATTGTTGTTTGCAGTACTGTACATCAACGTTAATAATCAAAAGGCTTACCAAAATAATGTAACATATGTAGACATTGTTTCCACAGTTATAAGAATAATATGTTTTGTTAAAGATAAGTCTGAGGCATCATTTCCCAGAAGGTTCCCAAGTCTGAGGACACACTTGACTAAGATATTTTTTAAATACTCTCCCTTTCAAGCTACTGTAGCTCAAGGCAGACAAGCTAATAATTCCCAATCCTGCTTCTCTAACAAGTGAGTCTTCCTACCCTACTGAGCTGGAAATGAAGCCACAATCATGTTGATATGAAAATGGCACCTGATAGTGTAGTAATCATATCCACATAGTACACTGTTTAGCTCAAGACATGGTAAGAGGCAAAAACCACTTTCTGTACACATGATCAGACACAAAACAAAATGCATGACTACTACCAGAGAAATGGATCTTTAGGACAAGAATATTGATGACTCTTAGGAAAGTTAAAATGGCTTTACAGTATTGTACACTGGATCAGCTGTTATAAAAATGTTACTGTTGAAATTGAGCTTATGGTTTTGTCTGCCGGAAGAGCAATGATTAAACATATGCCTTCTCATCTTTGAGCTGATCTAAAATTATGTCTTTGCAAAATGAGCACCACAATATTAAGCAAACTTCACAAACTGATGGAAGGATTCTTGTGTAACCATGATCCACCACTAACAGAAAGCATTTTAAAAATAAACTCTTTAAAATGATTCATCAAATAAAATAAATAGCAACTTACGTAATACTTCACATGAAGTATGTCAACCATAACCACATCCAGTAAATCAATTACAGCAACCAAGTCACAACCAAATAGAAACAGCTACCTCAATTAACAGATTCATATTGCAGTTGAGCATTATCAAAACCTTTAGTGATTACACCATTGCTGGTGATAAGGACCTTTATTTCAAGGCCATAGGTGTGCAAATAACAAAGATCTCTTAAGAATATTCCTGCTGGTCTTCATATATCATTACATGATAGAACTAAATTCATGTTAACTATACTATTAATATCATGTACCCATTCACTTGAGGCCTGTAAACCAGCCAGTTTACTTCTCATGTAACTTTCTCATTGTTTACATCCAATAACAACCATAGTGCCAACATTAGCTGGTACAGTATAGAGTATCTTTGAGTGCACTGTCTTAACTGTGTTTATGGCAAATATAGGTACGTACTACGTATCATATGGCTCTATTGGCCAAATATGAACATTTATTAGTGGAATATGCTATATGTTTTATATAGGCAATTACTGTATGTAGAATTATTAAGTCATGAATTATGAAGTATAAAATTAAATTTGTAGGCATATTACAGTTTTGCATTGACCAAACAAGTAATGACCCTTTTTGGCAACCAAATGGAAAATATCATCTACACAAGATTCTAGTTCATGTTGTACTTCATATGGAGAACATTGTTGAGGTGAAACTCCTCCACCAGACCCATCTGCTGGCGGGCCTGGCGGGCATGAACACAGAGGTCGTGAGCATAGGCGCACGTGGCAGGAACAGCTAGGATTTTTCTGGCCAAGAGTCGTAGTGTTGAGAGGCCTGAAGCTGAAGTCCCTGACCACCAGGCCAGGATGTCATCATCTTCAAGGTGCACCTGTAAAATTTTCAGTGGTTAATATAATTGGTTTCCAGAGGCATCAAGTAAATTTAAAAGGGAAGTTGCATATTCAGTCCCCAAAGTGGTTCAAATTGTAGGTAGTAGGCAGCTATCAAACAGGGAGGTACTACAGCCAGGTAAGATATTGGAAGCATGAAGTATTGTCTAATGGTAAACCCTGCTTCCATATGGCATCACAAAACTGTGGCCAAGTTTCAGGTTGCTAATCTGATTTTCTGCCTCATTTACACACAATTGAGAGGTTTCAATTGTTTCTCTTACTATGACAATATATATATATATATATATATATATATATATATATATATATATATATATATATATATATATATATATATATATATATTTCATGTAGATCCACAATGAAAACGTGGATAAGATAAATCTTGATAAAATCACACGGGAAAAGGGAAACAACGGAGCACCTTGGCTTTCGTCTTTATTCAAGACAAGATATATATATATATATATATATCGTTTCTCACTATTGATCTTTGCTTTTAATTTTTTTAAGTATTTATGGTTATTATTTTATTATTTTTTGTATTTATTATTATCATTTATATTATCATTATTATTATTATTATTATTATTATTATTATTATTATTATTATTATTATATCCCCCCCAGGTTCTGATGTGGGTCATTAACCTGTGCGGGTGGGGGGAGAATATAAATGATAATAATAAATACAAAAAATAATAAAATAATAACCATAAATACTTAAAAAAATTAAAAGCAAAGATCAATAGTGAGAAACGATATATATATATATATATATATATATATATATATATATATATATATATATATATTATAGAAAATCCTGAATATGAACAGGATAGCAGGAAGCCGTCTCTTCTCCCCCCTCCCCCCCCATTGAACGGGTCCCCCTTACATTGTTCCAAACATGAGAAAAACAAGTGCCTAGCAACCTACCTTCATATTGACATATGCCATGATTTCTTCACTGTCAGAGACGGAGGTGTCGGGGGCTGGGTTGTCCATGTACTCTCGGAATGGGTGGACCTCCTGAGCAGTGGTGGTGGGAGGCTCAGTGGGCGAGTGGGCATTGGAGTAGGTGCGGCGGTTGGTCTTGAGATTGAGCACCCCAGAGTTAGCCTCCGTTACTGACACTGACTTCATCATCTCCAGCACATGACGGTGAACCTCCGTTTTTTCAGACTCACTCAGAACCTGTTGACATAGGAAGCTATTCACAATGCTGATCATAGGATATACAGTATCTTATACCTTTATATTTATTGTATAACTGTGAATGCAATAAAATTATGTGATTTGCAGAACATACCAAGAAGAATTATACAACGCTAATACAATAACATATTTGATGCATGGTTTACAACACTATACTGTACACTAATAAAGACTTTCGTACTGCACAGACCACTTGCAATAATACACTTCCCTCCTCTTTTGGGATGGACAAGGAAGCAAGTGTGATACTGCACAGTAATTATAATGGTCAGAGATACAGCTGCATCATACTGCATGATGAGGAATGTTATAATTACATCTAGACATGTATAAGGTGTAATGCACTAAAACCAAAATAATAAAGAACACTAATACAGCTAAAACAACACGAATGTTTCTAGTACAGTATTTATCTCCCAAGCATCAACAGGACCTCGAGTGTTACACCCTTGAGTACAATAACAAAACCCCTGAAGTCATCATGCTGAAGGGGTTGTCATCATACTCAAGGGATTAAATCATTGTTTTTGAGGGGTTATCATTGTACTCAGAGGGTGTGTTCATTAACCTGCAGGTTAGGTTGTTATTTTTAGGGGGTTAGGGTAAATCTCTATCACCACACTATATATACTGCACAAAATTACAATAATTCCCTTCCGAATGCCACAACATAGTATTGAGGCAGCAGAGGCGATGTTCACACAAAAACAAACAAACACACACATGCACGTACAACATATCCTGTATGTATATGTATGAACTATTTGTATTCATAGTACAGTCAGTGGCACATACAGCAATTAAATGACACAAATTTAGTTCCGAAAGTCTTATTTGGTTGAACCAAGAACAAACTGAATTTGGGTGTGTTCAGTCTGGTAGTGTTGTGTTCAGCCTGGTAGGGTGTGGGGCATGGCCATTGGCCAGTATGGGCAGACGTGACACATTAAATTAAACTGGTCTGTGTCTCTCGCCCGGCGTGTTATGGCGTGGTCCCACCAGGGCGCTCTGCCACCCTCTGCCCCTCACGCTGTGGCGAAGTGCCTCGCCCATTTCCTTTTATACCTCCTGTGACCTGCACCTCTTGTAAAATGCACCTAGCTCAATAATCAATAGATTTTATATATACGTACGTTGCTAATAAGATGGTATGTAAACAACGCTAATATAAACACATATAAACGTATCCAAGCCGGTTTATTTATGGTTAAAGCGACTCGTCCGGGGGTCTCATAAAACAAGGTAAAAACCACCCGGCCATATACGGTCGCACGCAAGCTCACCTCCGACTTTTATGATGACCAACATTTGCCAGGAATTTCGGCTTCTTGTGGTCGTACAGTGGTACTTTTACATCTTCATCAGTTGTCTGAAACGCGCCAGTGAGTCTGCTCGGTTTTCTTCAGGTGAGGGTTAACGAGAGTGGCTGACCTGCACGAGGTTGTAATTGATTCACACTTTATGTCACAATAAGAGGAACAGTGGACTACGCATCCCATTGTCAGGTGTAACGACCTTGGATAATTGACAATGGAACATCCGTGGCTGTGTTAACACTTCCCGCCATTGTCTGGTGGATCGTAACAACCTCGGCTTTTGTCGGAGAGGACGGCCACCACTATATCTAAAGTCCTGCTTGCATTCTGCCTCACGCGCAGTACATCAACGCTGCATGCACCTTACCTACCTTTATTGATGATGAGTGAGAATAACAGATATAGCTGCCAAAACGAAGCTTTAAAAATTACCACATCGAAAGGGAACCACAGGATGTCGCCCCTGACCATGTGGTGCCTTTCAAACACACAGCAAATTACATTACAATATGTATGTCCTAAAAAAACTGCTTATTAAAAACTATCGCGAGTTTTACTATGGATATAATACTCCCACTCATTCCGAGCAACAGAGCGACAGCGTTTTGTACACGACAAATTGTAAATAAACTATTTATTACATTTCTTATATTCTACATTATACTGCTTATAAAAAATGAAAGTTTTCAAAGAAACAACACAAAGTTAAGAGCTAAACGGCAAGGGACCAGTGCATGTAAATAATCACAATCTCGACTTGCCATCATGGGAGGCGCCAGATAATCCAGATACAGTATTTAGCAGCAGTTTTCAGCAGTCAAACAAAACGCGTCGATGAAAAGATGTGAGAGGAGTTAGGGCAATATTCACACCAAAGAATATACCTCAGGTGGCCGAGGGGGACCACAGGGATGCTGCCGGCTCTCACCTCCACACCAACGCTAGCGGATGCCTGCAACAATATATTCTACCACAATTTCATCAATGTCCGAAATTTGGTGAGAACCATCTAATAATACGGTTATTTTTTTCATATTTACTGAAAGATTAAGTTAATGGTTAACTCTAAACTTTCTACGCTCGTCACGGAGTTAAGATATCTTAAATAAACAAAAATAATTAAGATATCACTGTATCGCGTGACGTATTCATAAAAAAAGTGAGAGACGCCATTAACAGCACAAACACTTAAAACTCCTTAACGGCACAAATAAGTAAACGTTTTCGCAGATCAACGCGCACTTATTAATATTTTACCACAAGGAAAATAGGGAGGAAAGGAGAGGAAATCCAACAATAAAAAGTTAGTGCTTTGTGAGAAGGAGGAGGGATGGAAGCCTGGAGGGTGACGGAGGCGGTAATACGTGAGGTGACGAGTTGGACACGACTCACAGTTTGTCTTCCCTCCCTTGACCAGCCGACTAGGGAGAGCCACTACGACTTACACCATCACCACCTCCTTCCTTTCAATAGCTCCACTGCCCCCCATGTACTGAATGGTAATATGGAAGCTAAAGTCATAATGGTTCGATTAGATTAGTCTGGGGTCTATAAGGACTGGGGCCCCATTGCAAACCCTCATGTTCTGGGCCCCAATTTCTTAAAAAAAAAAAAGATCCATTCAGTATTTTTCCTCTTAACTCTTACAATAAAGGGAGCTCACCCCTATTGAAGTTCGACGCCATTAAATCTGTCATCAGCTGTGGCCCGGAGCCAGAGTGAGTCATTTTAAGTAAGTTGAATGTAAGAACCTTTGCAAGAACCGAGATTTAGCAGCTGTCTTATTTGATCACAGAAATGAGTAAATAGTGGTAGTGAGTTTGACACATGAATTTATCTGTCTACCTCTTAATTTGACTATCTACTGTATATATGGGGTTACCTGAAGATTAGCCCCATGCTAATTTCACCTGTTAATTAAATACCCTAACGCTACCTCGGGGGTTAGGTTAGGTTTGATCAAGCCAATAGCTACAGTCTCGAAGGCGTCTCAGGCAGTAGGAAGAAACCCTTGGTGGCTGTGTCCTTTCCTCTTTAAACTCCCATCCTCGTGTCCTAGTTCAGCCACCCCTCCCCATGTCCTAGTACCCATATCCTACGTGGTTCCTCCATATCCTACCCCTTAGCGTGCCGTGTCCTGGGCGTGTCAAGTCCGGGTAGTAGGCCAGACGACGCAGGCAGCCATTACTGTGGTAACGGAGGCAGCGGCACCTGATACTTGGAATGGCTGTGGTAGGCGGAAAGATGAAGGAGGGAGGGGACGGTGAGGGAGGAGGGGGGTATAGCGAGCCGGGTGTTGAGGAGGACGTGAGAGAGGAAGGTGAGTGAGCCGGTTAAGAGGGGGTGTAGTGAGCCGGCTGTTGAGGAGGAGGTGAGAGAGGGGGGTGTAGTGAGCCGGCTGTTGAGGAGGTGAGAGAGGGGGGTGTAGTGAGCCGGGTGTTGAAGTGAGTGAGTCGGCTGTTGAGGAGGTGAGAGAAGGGGGTGAGCGAGCCGGTTAAGAGGGGGAGGGGGTTATTCAGGAATAGGGGGGGATATGGGGTGATATGTAACCTGGCACTCGCTACTTCCCTTCCTTCCTTTTACCTTATTCCCTTCCCCTCTACGTCGGTCTCTCCTTCTTCAGGTAGGTACTAAAGGATGGAGTGTGTGTACCGTAGACTGTCTCACCCACCACAACAAAACCTTCATTTCTGACCCTGTAATCCTCTTTAGTGACTCACCAGTACTTAGATTCTTAAAAACACGGATGACCTGAGGATTAATCACCTAATTAATTCACCTTATGATTAAAACCACTTTCGCTAATCTATTCCTCAGGTAGAGTTACGGTGTTTAATCATCAGGTGCAATGATCCAGGGGGACTATTCTTCAGGTGATCCATAAAACACATTTATGTTCAATAATTCACCTAAACTGAACGATATCTAGTTAAGGTCAAGGCACAATGCATTATCCTGATCGGCATCTTTACGTCATAGCTTAAACGAATCTGTTAGAGGCGTCAATTCCCATGACAATTTAATTTATGAGACATAAATCCGGATTTTAGACTCGGTGAACGGTAGGATTCACACCAATTCGTGAATCCATCGTCGCAGCATAAAAACGACACTACTCACTCGCCTGAACAGAAAAACAAAACATCTCGTCTTGAGTGTTTGAGAGAGAGAGAGAGAGAGAGAGAGAGAGAGAATAGCCCTGTCCGTAGCCCGAGAGAAAGAGATAAACTTGAAAGGAAAGAAAATTAAGTACTTGAGGGAAATCAATACTGTGAGAAACTTGCTGGAGAATAACCTGTTGTGGGTGTGAGGCGGCGATGAAAAGGACGGCTACCACCAACGGACCATTGGACCATTGTTACCACTGGACACATTTTAAGAATATATCCTTCACTTTACACACACAATCAGTAGAGTTACAGCACCTTATCCGGAATAACGAACGAGAAAGAGAGAGAGAGGGAGAGAGAGAGGAGGCAGAAACTCAGGAAGGAAGTGAGGCAGAGGAGAGCGTAGAGAGCTTGAGTGGCGGGGCGAGGTGGTGCGACGCAAGGTGCTGGCCGAGGCGCGGTGGACCTGGTGAGGAAAGAGGGAGGGGGGGTGGAGGATGAGAGAGGTGTGGGGGGAAGGAGAGAGGTGGGGGGAAGGGAGAAAGGTGTGGAG